TGTGAGGGATGTCGGATGACATGTCCACAGATTTGGTCATTTTGACACTTGTCTGCTCATCCTGGAGTCCTTCCAGAAACAGGCTTCACCTCTTTCAGGATCATAATCTCAGTGCTCTGGAACAACAAGAAAATGCTTTGATCTTTTCTTCCAGAATTTTCTTTTCATTTCATTGAATATGAAAAGAAAATATTCCGTATTCTGCCAACCTAATGCAGGAGAGAGACGAGAGAGATACATGCAACATCACTTTCTCTCCAATGAAATTAGGTTCCTAGACGCTGAAAAATAGACAATAGGTGAAGACAAGCATCATCCTCAGCATTTCTGTTTTAGGGGTCTGGGTAAATAGGAGAGGAAAGGATCGCTTTTCTGAATAACATTAGAGTTGTTATTTTATGGCTGTGACTTCAGTATTGTTTTCTTCTGAAACACGATAATTGTTCATTTATATTCAACAAGTACTGATGGCTTAGCTATTCTATCTTTTCATTTACCTCACAATGGTCTTTGTTTAGAAGCCATTAGCCTCTTTATTGTTAAGTACAGAAAAAAACCTTTTTCTGCTCTTACTTAATTTTCTTTGATCTTCCAAAGGCAAGTTACCTCTAAAACTGGCAGATATATAGAAGCTTGACAAGGAAACTCATCCCAGGTCTATACATAAAATGGTAGTCTTCATAACTTCCCAGGGAATGTCTGGCTATTTATTTTAGAGTCATATATTTCATATGTGATGGCTGATAAATTGCAATAGTCTACTTTTCAGCAAAACTGATCTCCATCTATTAAATTCAAGTAATAATTTATTTGAGATGGTTAATATCATGTAGTTGTTATTTTATATTTGAAAAAAGTCATGTGATAATTTTTGATGACATTGGTGACACAAAATCAAATAAAACTATATTTGACCCTTGAACAATGCAGGGGTTAGGGGTGCTGACCCCCACACAGTCAAAATTCCCATATAAGTTTTGACTCCCCTCAAACTTAAGTTGTCCCTAGGTATCCACAGGGGATTGGTTCCAGGACCCCTGAAGATACTGAAGTCCACAGATGCTCCTGTGTAAAATGGTGTATATCAATTGTGCACAGCCAGCCCTCCACATCTGCAGACGCCCAACAGCAGATCAAAAACAGCACAGGTATTCACTGAAAAAAAAAAAAACCCATACAAGTGGACTCATGCAGTTTAAACATGCATTGTTCAAGGGTCAACTGCACATTGAAAAAAATAATTGACACAAAGAAATCTCTCTCATCATTTAAGGCATAATTTACCGAGTTGCTGTTTATTGCAATGCTAAATTTGTATTTGTTAATTTTTACAATTTTCTTTTTTATTAAACATAAAAATAATTAATTCTTCTTATCAATTAATATCTTAGCATCTCCAGTGAATTAAAAGGAAATGTCATGTAATATGGACAGGCAAAACAACCTGTATGTACTCAAATCAGGCTAGAGCCCATGGTAGTGGCTGGTCAAGACTTTTTTCCCAAGGAAACAGTTTATGTCAGTAGACTTCGGTGATTTTCCTTAAACTACAAAAGCCAAGATTCTTATGCAAGGATCTCTTTCAAAGCCATTAGTTGCACATTTGTCCTGGGGAGGAGAATACAACCCTTGAATCACCTTTACTTTAAAATCCTGCTTGCTTGAGCTTTGTGAACTGTATGTCTTGACAGATTACAGAAAAACACATTTGTTTATGTCCTTAAAAAGGCAAAAGCAAATTGTTTGAGTGTTACTACAGGCCCAAAATTTCTACCCTAAGATGATAAAAGGTGCCAGAATACTCCCTTCCCATGCTGGAATATTGCACATGTATTTCCCATAGGACCTCAGTGGTAGGGCACTGAAAAACCCCTCTTCTTTTGCCATCTGATTGCTGAGTGAGTAAAGCATTTGTAAAGGGTACTCAAAAAGGAATTTGACCTGTCATCAAAGTTTAAGAATTTAGGTGACCTGAAATAACATACTGGATCACTTCTCCACCCTTTGGCTAAGATCAAGTGTAGTAAAATAACATAGTGGGTATAATGCATTGAAATCTGGAAACTATTGACAATTATAAAATATCAGCACTGGTTCAATAAGCCCTGAAGAAGAGAAACTTCTTTTTATTTCTAGATGTATGAAGAGCCTTGAAATGGAAAGAAGGGTGAAAGCTTGTGCATGGTGAGAACACCTATGACTCGAACATGGGGAGGGGGGGGTTAAATTTTTTTCTTTTCTCACAGCAAAACATAATATGTTCCTGAGTATTTTTTTCTCTGAAATGTCTTAAATATTAAGTTTTTAATTCTTGTGAGAGGTGATGGAGTTTGTAATTTTCTTCACATTTCCTACTTTTCTCTCCTTTATGTTATCCCAAAATTCACCGTAACTGCTCTAGTTCAGAGAACCTACCATAACTAAATAATCAAATGCTTGGTTAGATGTAAAATTTCAAGTGCTCTACTAGTCATTATTTTCCTTTATGAGATACATGATCATCACTATATCTTCATATGACCTTAAGTTTTGTAGCCTGCATAAAGACCTGTTTTTAAAGACTTGATCTTGGGTTTTATTCATCTGGGTGAAGTGTGTTAAATGTTCAATGTCAATGAATTAAAATATTTTGAATGATAATATTAATACAAAATTAATCATGAAAAGCAAAAATAAAATCAACAAATACCAGTAGGAATTTATTTCTAAATGTTAAGAAAGGGAACCTGTGATTGCCCAAAATTTAAAACCCAATCATAGTAAATAAATGAGAGCTTTAAAAAATGTGATGCCGTTGTTACATTTACTAAATCATCCATTCATTTCCTGGAAATACAGAGGATAGAGGAACAGGTGACACCATGAGGAAACAATCAGACAAACTCTTAATGTAGGACTTTCTATAAGACAACTGGTCTGAACACTTCAAAAATTTAAATATCATAAAAGATGTAAAAGATGGGAGACTTTTCTAGAATAAACAGATGTAATACCCAATACAATCATGAGACTTGATTAAAAAACAAAATTTCTAAGATATTTCTTATAACAGATAGTTAAAAGTAAGTACCTTTAAAAAAAAAAAAACCTCAGGAGTGAATGTGAATTCTTACCAAGTTGAAGAAGTCAGGGAAGAGTAATGGAAAGATAATGAGATTTCATAGGAACTGGATTTTTTATACTAGGGAATCATTGTTAATTTTGTTGGGTGTGATACTGGCATTATGATTGTGTGGGACAATGCCCTTATATTTGGGAGATGCCTGATGACTTTTTTGGCAGTGAGGTGTCATGATGTCTTCAAGTTACACTCAGATGGGTCAGCAAAGAAAGAGGGAATGTGTTTGTAGAATAATGTACATGGATAGAACAAAAGTGACAAAATGTAAATAACTTTTAAATTTAATTAGGGTAGAAGTATGTTGGTATAGTTCTTTTTAACTTTTCCATACAGTATATTTGAAACATTTCTTAATACAAATATGTAATTCATAGGCTTTATTTTTTAGAACAGTTTTAGGTTTTACAGAAAATTGAGCAGATAATACCGAGAATTCCCACATACCTACTTTCTCCCACTCACAGTTCCTCCAGTTGACATCTTGCATTAGCGTGGTACATTTATTATAACGGATGAATCAATATTGAGCCATTATTATTAACTAACATCTGTAGTTTACGTTAGGTTTCACTCTTTGTGTTGTACATTCTGTGGGCTTTGACAAGCGTATAATGTCATGCATCCACAGTTCATAAAATTTTAGTTCCCCCAAATCCCCTGTGTGTTTCCTCTTATTCACCCCCCCTTCTGTCCCCCACCCCCACAACCACTAATCTTTTTAATGTGCCTGCACTTTTGCCTTTTCCAGAATGCCAGGTAGTTGCAATAATAGCATATGTAGACTGGCTTCTTTCACTAAGAAATATGCATTTAAGATTCCTCTGTAACTTTTTTGATCAATAACTAATTTCTTTTTATCACATTGTTAAAAAATACACAAAATGAGAGAAGCTAAAGACCCAACAACAAACCAATATATATACCTTGTTTGGCACTTGATTCAACAAATTATCTCTAAAAAGACATTTTAAAAAGATAATTGGAAATTTTTCAATATTTATGGGGTATTTGATATTATGAAACTATTAACACTGCTAGATGCAATTATTAAATGGAAGTTATGTAAAAATGTTCTTATCTGTTAGTAAGAAAAATAAAAATATAAAAATATCAACATTCACAAGAATAATTATCCAACTATGTTAGATTTTTATGTGGCTCAAATGCACCAAATTTTAGGAAAATGTGAAGTTGGACAATGCAGGAGAAAAATCTGAGTAAAAAAAAATATTTCAGTGTCCACAGGAATGTTCTCATGTGAATTCTGTGTTTTTTCTGCATCTCCATACTTTTCTGTTGGCTTGAGTGTGAGGATGGTAACCTAACCCTAACCACCACAGAGATGTGCACATGCCAGAACTCTGAATAAAAACTGGAAACTGACTAGTCAAAGCCTCCTTTCATCCTAGGACCGAAGTGACTCCCATTCTTCGAAGTTGATTTTTTTCCAGTTTAAAGAAGAACTGCTTGAATCTGTGAGGACACTGGAATGGACATTTGTCTATGTTTTCCATGTCGTTGTGGATGCAATGAAAAAGCCCTTCGAAAAGCAGATAAGACTTCAGTACACTAAGAGATGCTACCTGTAAATATTCCATTTAGATTACCATCAGTCTGAAGGGAAGGGTTGATTCTGTGAACGTTTTTGGAGAAAGTAAACATTCGGAAAGGACGCGGGGTGGCGCTGCAGCATTAGAAGTAGAATGAAGAAAGCTACCAGTCCGCCCTTGTAGCCAGACGCTCTGCTAGAAAAGCAAGCAGGAAGGGGAGGCTGTCTAGTGTGGTCGCTCCGGGATATCAGGGCCTTAGGCGTCTCTACTCCTCCAGGTATCTGGGACTTACCCAGAGACAGAGTCCGCGGCAGTGCGACCCCGAGCTGGGTCAGGTTTGCTGGGAGACCAGAAGGCGATGGAGGCCAGAGAAGGAAAGAAACGCTCTGTGAAACAAAGGCAAGTCTTGATATTCTTTGTTTTGCTGGGTATAGCTCAGGCTGGTTCAGAGCCTAAACACTATTCAGTGGCCGAGGAAATGGAGAGTGGCTCCTTTGTGGCCAATTTGTTAAAAGACCTGGGGCTGGAGGTAGACGAGCTAGCTGCGCGGGGGCCCCGCGTCGTTTCCAAAGGGAAAAAAATGCGTTTGCACTTGGATAGGCAGACCGGGGATTTGTTGTTAAATGAGAAACTGGACCGGGAGGAGCTGTGCGGCCCGTAGCGAGCCCTGTGTGCTGCCTTTCCAGGTGTTACTGGAAAATCCCTTGCAGTTTTTTCAGGCTGAGCTACAAGTTAGGGACATAAATGATCATCCCCCGGTTTTCCTAGACAAAGAAATAATTTTGAAAATCTCAGAAAGTATCACTCCCGGAGCTGCTTTCTTAATAGAATGTGCCCAGGACTTAGATGTAGGAAGCAACAGTCTCCGAAGTTACACAGTCAGCCCCAGTTCCCACTTCCATCTTAAATTACAAGAGAGTCCTGATGGCGTGATATTGCCACAGCTGGTGCTGGACAAGGCTCTGGACCGCGAGGAGCGGCCTGAGATCTTGTTAACTCTCACAGCGCTGGACGGGGGCACTCCGCCCAGGTCTGGCACCGCTCTGGTCCGCATTGAAGTCTTGGACATCAATGATAACGCCCCGGAATTTGCAAAACTGCTCTATGAAGTCCAGGTCCCGGAAAACAGCCCCATTGGATCCCAGGTTGCTGTCGTCTCGGCTAGAGATTTAGACATTGGAGCCTATCGAGAAATATCGTATGTATTTTCCCAAGCTTCTGAAGATATTCGCAAAACTTTTCAAATAAATGCGAAATCGGGAGAACTCCTTTTAACACAGAAACTGGACTTCGAATCCATTCAGACTTACACATTAAATATTCAGGCGACCGACGGAGGGGGTCTATCTGGAAGTTGTGCGGTGTTTGTCCAGGTGATGGACTTGAATGACAACCCTCCGGAACTGACCATGTCAACGCTGGTCAATGAAATCCCAGAAAACCTGCAGGAGACCATAGTTGCTGTGTTCAGTGTTTCAGATCTTGACTCCGGAGACAATGGGAGGATGGTTTGCTCCATCCAAGATGATCTTCCGTTCTTCCTCAAACCCTCTGTTGAAAATTTTTACACCCTGGTGACAAACACAGCCCTGGATCGAGAGATGACATCCCAGTACAACATCACCATCACCGTCACAGACCTGGGGACTCCCAGACTAAAAACCCAGCAAAACATAACCGTGCTGGTCTCTGACGTCAACGACAACGCCCCAGCCTTCACTCGAAACTCCTACACCCTCTTCATCCCCGAGAACAACAGCCCCGCCCTGCACATAGGCAGCGTCAGCGCCACAGACAGAGACGCGGGCGCCAACGCCCAGGTCACCTACTCGCTGCTGCAGCCCCAGGACCCCAGCCTGCCCCTGGACTCGCTGGTGTCCATCAACGCCGACAACGGACACCTGTTTGCCCTGAGGGCACTGGATTTCGAGGCCCTGCAGGCATTCGAGTTCCTGGTGGGCGCCACAGATCACGGATTCCCGGCGCTGAGCAGCCAGGCGCTGGTGCGTGTGCAGGTGCTGGACGCCAATGACAACGCGCCCTTCGTGCTGTACCCGCTGCAGAACGGCTCTGCGCCCTGCACCGAGCTGGTGCCCAGGGCGGCCGAGCCTGGCTACCTGGTGAGCAAGGTGGTGGCGGTGGACAGCGACTCGGGCCAGAATGCCTGGCTGTCTTACCAGCTGCTCAAGGCCACAGAGCCCGGGCTGTTCAGCGTGTGGGCGCACAATGGCGAGGTGCGCACTGCGCGGCTGCTGAGCGAGCGCGACGCGGCCAAGCACAGGCTGCTGCTGCTGGTCAAGGACAATGGCGAGCCTCCTCTGTCAGCCAGTGTCACGCTGCACGTGCTGCTGGTGGATGGCTTCTCTCAGCCCTACCTGCCGCTGCCCGAAGTGACGGCCGCCGCAGCCCAGACAGACCCGCTCACGGTCTACCTGGTCATCGCGTTGGCGTCGGTGTCGTCGCTCTTCCTGTTCTCGATGCTGGCGTTCATCGCAGTGCGGCTGTGCAGGAGGAGCAGGGCTGGCCTGGTGGGTGGCTGCTTGGTGCCTGAGAGCCACTTTCCGGGCCACCTGGTGGACGTCGCCGGTACTGGGACCCTGTCCCAGAGCTACCAGTATGAGGTGTGTCTGATGGGAGGCTCAGGGACCAGCGAGTTCAAGTTTCTCAAACCGATTCTCCCCAGCTTTCTTAGTGAAGGTGAGGTGAGGGTTAGTGAGGCAAAGCCCAGTTTCAGGGATAGCTTTGAATTCAGTTAAGATTTAATAAGGGTCTACTAACACTAGTCTCATTTGTAAAATAATTACTAATTAGCCCTAATTAATTTGTGAAAATTCCCTTTGTACTGCTTTGCCCATTGGGGTTGTGTCTTTTTATTTGAAATGTAAATATTTCAATTCAGTGCATGCGAATTACTAGAGTTTCTAAATGTGTTGTTTTGTGGTGTAATGAATGCTAACTTTCTTTGTATTTTCATTGGTGATTAATCTCCTTATAACTTAATTCCATTTAAAATGTGTAAGTAGCCCTGGCTGCTGTGGCTCAGTTGGTTGGGCATCAATCATCCTGCCAACCAAAAGGTCACAGGTTCCAGGTTCCATTCTGGGTCAGGTCACATGCCTGGGTTGCTGGTACAATATTGCACATGTTTCTCTCCCTCCCTTCTTCTCTCTCCAAAAAAAATAAATAAAGTTACAAAAATAAAACGTGAAAGTAAATTTTTTCCAAGGTCTGAATTTTTAAGTTAGAGTACCTTTTTCCAAACTCACTTCCCAGGGGGCCTAGGTAATTTTGCAACCCTACATTTTTAAATGTCTGCTCTCACTATATAGGGTTATTCTTTTCAGGCCCAGAGTGTTTGTTTGTTTGTTATTCTCTTATGCTAGTGTAACTTCTCCTGTGAAGTCACATTGGCTAAAACCATTAATATAAGTATCTTAATCAAAAACAAAGGGCTCCCTCACATTTTTCTAAATATATATTTTGCAAAGTGTCCATACAGGGAAATTACGATTCTTTAGAGATCATGAGAACTTTGACTATTGGATTCCACAAACTATCACATCAAAAGTGTTCAATGAATCAATGACTGGTGTTCCAAAATGTAATTAGATATATATCACATGTACAGTCATTTTCAAAGACATGCTAATTCTTCATGTTTTCTATTTCAAAACAATTTTATACTCTGTTTATTTCAATCCCCCTTTAAAAAATCTCAGTTGTAATTATTAAAAACTATCTATTAACTTTGAGCACTTAATACCCAAAAGTCTGAGGGAATGTATGTCTTTGTCCTCAACCAAAATTTATAAACTTCAAATGTAGTTTGGCATTGCATTTAAAAAAATTCTTGAGTATTATGATTTAACTGGATATAAGCTCCTGGATAATATTTATTTTGGTCTGTCTGCTCATTCCATTTCTTTTTGTATTGAGTACTTCTCTTTACCCCTTTCAATTTTCTACTTTTCAATGCTTTTTTCTTTTTAGGTGCATGAGTTACATTTCTCAATAGCTCCCAATTCATTGCATAATTAGCATAATGACTTGAAGATTATAGACTCTTTAATTTTTTGAGTGAGAGGAAGAAAGAAGTATCTTTATTTCACCCATGATATATATTGCTATATATTTCACCTGTGATGTGATGTATATTTAAAAACTCACAGGACAAACTTTTGCTGGAATTAAGTGCTCTCTGATGCATAATGAATTTATGTATATAATATATGTGTTATTAACTGATATAGTCACTGTTATTCAAACAGTATGTAGTTATCTGTCCCTGGTATCTCTTTCCAACAAAATATTTTTTCTTCTTCTCTTCCTGCTTGACTCTCCTTTCCTGCTCACAGCTTAGGGATACAAATGGAGAAATTATGTTTTATATTTTATAATTTAAAATTTCTTTTATAATCCTCTACAGGATTCATCCAACTTCTCTATTTCTTGCAGTTCAATTTTTAATCCATACATTAAAATAAGAGTTTATTTTTTAATGTTTTTTAAAAGATTTTATTTACTTAGTTTTAGAGAGGGGGGAAGGAAGAGAGAAAAAGAGGGAGGGAAACATCAATGTGTGGTTGCCTCTTGCATGCCCCGCACCGGGGACCTGGCCTGCAACCCAGGCATGTTCCCTGACTGGGAATTGAACCAGTGATCTTTTGGTTTGCAGGCTGGCACTCAAGCCACTGAGCTACACCAGTCAGAGCTAATGTTCTTCATTTAATACTTGAGCTATACTATTAAAATTATAAGATGAATTTTAAAGGTCTTATTTTGAGATTAACAGTGGTGTAAACCACTATCTTGGTATTCAAAGTCTCTGATTAACCTGTAGGGTCTTGGATAAGTCACATAATTTCTGTCTCCCTCCAAATGAGAATAATAGCTATTTCAATATCTTGCAGTAATTTATTAAGTAATTTAATTATACTAAGTAATTTAATATAAAGATACAGAAATATAATTGCTGTTATTTTACAGATCACTAATATGAAGACTAAACTTAATAGGTGAGCCTTCATATAACATTACTGATTATTGTGAAGGAGCTAGATTGAACATGATGTTTGTGTTGTTTCATTTCTCTGCCTAAAATCTTGCAATAGCTTCCTTTTAGTCTTGGAATAAAATCCATGCACCTATTATTTGGCCCCAGTTTACTGCTCTAGCCTTCTCTTCTCACGTACTTCTGAGACAGTGAGTTTTGGGTATGCTGACCTTCCTTCGTTTTCTGGAATAGCTGTGCTCGACTGTCCCAGGGCCTTTACATATCAGTTCCTTGCATATAGAATCTTCCCCTTCCACAGTCTTAGCCCAGCAAGCTTCTCATCCTTAGTGTTTCAGATTAAATGGCACATCTTTGGGAAAACTTTCTCAAATCTCCCCACCCCATTAAATTACATCCTGCTATCTGTACTGTCAATGCACTAAGTACATTTCCTACATAGCACTTTTCACACTGTTTGAACATCTGTGTAAAGTCTGTTCACTCTATTAGGTGGAAAACTGTGTAAGGTATATGTCTGTCTTGTTACCACTGTATGTCTAACTTCTACAAACTCAGTAAGTATCTGTTCCCACAGATGAAATAGTTATACTGATGAAACCAGTAATTGAAGAATTACCGTGAAATAAGAAGAGGAGAAAGTTTTGTATTCCTTGACTGAGTGTGAAAATGTGGAAGGAATTAGGCATTTGTGGTCTATGGGTATACCTCCTGAAATGATCTATTATAATTTTTTATTATCTTGCATGATTTTGTCTTCTCATAACATTATTTTCCTTACTATAAAAGCAACATGCACATATTACAAAATTTGGGTAATAAAGGAAAACATAATACTATAGTGAAGAATGTCATAATTTAGAACAAAACATTTTCAAATTTATATGTAATAATTATAGATGGGGTGGGGTAGTCCTAGCAGGTGTCCACATCCTCAAAATCATAAAAATGAGGTCTCTGACGGGACAGTCATGTCTCTTTGGATAAGAACACATTTAATTTCTAGGTTGTGTTTTTTAACACAAGAAACTCCTCCAGTAGCATCAACTTGTTTTAACAAGGAGAATAAGCAATTAAAAATATCAAAACAACAAAAACCCTAAAAGTACCTTCTTCTCTAAGGGTTTGAAACTGAGAGCGAACGCATGGTGGCGCTGTTGACTAAGAAGGAGAATTAAACCACGGCAATGCGCTACTCAGTGACGCACTGATTCAGTCTAGTACGCCAGGGGTGAGCTTGGGCGGATTTTTAAGCAAGCAAATCCGAGCCCTGGAAGGGTTTTCCTCTAGACTTTCTTCAAAGGTTGGGAGGCAAAAGACTTTGCATTTTCCAGCGCTGTCGGAGGCTCAGGTCGGCAATATTTCTTGGAAGAACATGGCAGAAAATGAAATGGAGGCTGGAAGGGAGCGATTTCTTAGACAAAGGCAAGTCTTGTTTCTCTTTGTTTTTCTGGGTGGGTCTCTGACTGGGTCCGAATCCAGACGCTACTCTGTGGCTGAGGAGAAAGAGAGGGGTGTTTTAATAGCCAACCTAGCAAAGGATCTGGGGCTGAGTGTAGGGGAGCTGGCCGCGAGGGGCCCCCAAGTTGTGTCTAAAGGGAACAAACAGCATTTTCAGTTCAACCATCCGACCGGTGACTTGCTCCTGGATGAGAAATTGGACCGGGAGGAGCTATGCGGCCCTACAGAGCCATGTATACTGCATTTTCAGATTTTACTGCAAAACCCTTTGCAGTTTATTCCAAATGAGCTCCAGGTCATAGATGTAAATGACCATTCTCCGGTGTTCTTTGAAAATGAAATGCAGGTGAAAATCCTAGAAAGCACCCCACCAGGAACAATAATTCCACTGGGAAATGCAGAGGACTTGGATGTGGGAAGAAATAGTCTCCAAAACTACACAATCACTCCTAATTCCCATTTCCACGTTCTCACGAACAGTAGGAGGGATGGAAGGAAGTACCCAGAACTGGTGCTGGACAAAGCTCTGGACCGTGAGGAGCAGCCACAGTTCAGTTTAACACTCACGGCGCTGGATGGTGGGTCTCCACCCAGGTCTGGGACTGTTCAGGTCCACATCCTGGTCTTAGACATAAACGACAATGCCCCAGAATTTACACAGTCCATCTACGAGGTTGAAGTTCTAGAGAACAGCCCCATTAACTCTGTTATTGTCACTGTCTCAGCTTCTGATTTAGATACAGGAAATTTTGGGACAATATCATATGCATTTTTTCATACTTCAGAAGAAATTCTCAAAACTTTTCAACTAAATCCAATTACTGGTGATATCCATCTAGTCAAACATTTGAATTTTGAGGCAATTAAGAGTTATGAAGTCGACATAGAAGCCAAAGATGGTGGAGGCCTTTCAGGAAAATCAACGGTGATAGTGCAGGTAGTTGATGTCAATGACAACCCACCAGAACTGACCTTGTCGTCAATCACCAGCCCCATCCCGGAAAACTCGCCAGAAACTGTGGTGGCCATTTTCAGTGTTTCTGATCCAGACTCTGGTGACAATGGGAGAATGATGTGTTCCATCGAGAACAATCTCCCCTTCGTCCTGAAACCATCTGTAGAAAACTTTTACACTCTAATGTCAGAAGGAGCCCTGGACAGAGAGAGGAGAGCTGAATACAACATCACCATCACCGTCACAGACATGGGGACTCCCAGACTGAAAACCCAGCACAACATAACTGTGCTGGTCTCCGACGTCAACGACAACGCCCCGGCCTTCACCCAAACCTCCTACACCCTCTTCATCCCCGAGAACAACAGCCCCGCCCTGCACATAGGCAGCGTCAGCGCCACAGACAGAGACGCGGGCGCCAACGCCCAGGTCACCTACTCGCTGCTGCCACCCCAGGACCCCAGCCTGCCCCTGGACTCGCTGGTGTCCATCAACGCTGACAACGGACACCTGTTCGCCCTGAGGGCACTGGATTTCGAGGCCCTGCAGGCTTTCGAGTTCCTGGTGGGCGCCACAGACCATGGCTCCCCAGCGCTGAGCAGCCAGGCGCTGGTGCGCGTGCAGGTGCTGGACGCCAATGACAACGCGCCCTTCGTGCTGTACCCGCTGCAGAACGGCTCTGCGCCCTGCACCGAGCTGGTGCCCAGGGCGGCCGAGCCTGGCTACCTGGTGAGCAAGGTGGTGGCGGTGGACAGCGACTCGGGCCAGAGCGCCTGGCTGTCTTACCAGCTGCTCAAGGCCACAGAACCCGGGCTGTTCAGCGTGTGGGCGCACAATGGCGAGGTGCGCACTGCGCGGCTGCTGAGCGAGCGTGACGCGGCCAAGCACAGGCTGCTGCTGCTGGTCAAGGACAATGGCGAGCCGCCTCTGTCAGCCAGCGTCACGCTGCACGTGCTGCTGGTGGATGGCTTCTCGCAGCCCTACCTGCCGCTGCCGGAAGCTGCAGCCGCTGGGGCCCAGACTGACCCGCTCACGGTCTACCTGGTCATCGCGTTGGCGTCGGTGTCGTCGCTCTTCCTGTTCTCGGTGCTGGCGTTCATCGCTGTGCGGCTGTGCAGGAGGAGCAGGTCTGGTTTGGTGGGTGGCTGCTCGGTGCCTGAGGCCCAGTTTCCGGGCCACCTGATGGACGTCAGTGGCACCGGGACCCTATCCCAGAGCTACCAGTATGAGGTGTGTCTGATGGGAGGCTCAGGGACCAGCGACTTCAAGTTCCTCAGACCGATTCTCCCCAATGGTCTGGTTCAAGGCACTGAGCAAGAATAGTGCAAAACTCCAGTTGTAGGAATAGCTTAGATGGTTAACAAAAGAATAAAAAGTCGTTATTTGGTGAATGTTTTCTTTTTGATTTTTGTTCTGTTTAGTTAATCTTTGCATATTCTCCTTTTTTCATATTTTCTATCTTATACTAATGCAGTCTTAATGCCTTCCTTTTTTTTCTAATAGGTGTGTAAAAATAGTCATTATCTTTTAGTGGTGATTTTGTATGGGTTTATTTTAAGGAATGCATTTCGAATTCTGTATGCAAAGCACAGTCAGCTGATGTTCTTTATAATATCCTTAGAGCATGTTCTCTGTGGTTTCTGAAATTTGTGGATAGATTGGAATGTGTTTTCTTTCACACGTGCCATCTTTAAGGCACAACACGATTTTTAGGGATATAGTGCCCAAAAGAAAGTAATACCCTTAATTTATTTTCTGTTTTTACATTTGCAGTTAATATTTCAATATTGTAGATGATAAGGTGTATTCATGAATGAGAAAAAAAGTAAACTTAAGGCATTTTGAACAACTGATTGTGCTTTTCCATTTGGTGTGAAGACATTGTTTAGTAAGGCATGTGGTGGTATGACAGTTTGGTATGTAAATTCTGAGATATAAATGTTATCAACCTGAGGGCCTTTTTAAAAAATTTCAAGGAAGTACATGTATATATAGTCTATACATGATTTATGGTAAAAGTGTTCTATCCTACTTTTTAAAAGTTAACATCTACTTGGCATTTATATAGTGTGACTGAGGAAAATCTTGTCTGTGTTTCCTGTCTCACTTCCCTCCTCCGGTTTCAACCTGATGTGATTTAGGGTTATGTATGGGATAAACACTGACCGTGCACATCCGCATTCTGCCTCCTCAGTGTAATTAAAAGAAGATGTGTAAGAATAGGAAATTCTAAAAAGAAGAGAGCAGCCCTGGCTGGTGTAGCTCAGTGGATTGAGCAGGGGCCTGCAAACCACAGGGTCACTGGTTTGATTCCCAGTCAGGGCACATGCCTGGGCTGTAGGCCAGGTCCCCAGTGGGGGGCACGTGAGAGGCAACCACACACTGATATCTCTTTCTTCTTCCCTTCCTCTCTGTTTAAAAATAAATATCTTAAAAATATGTTTTTAAAAAATAATAAAAGAAGAGAGCAATATCATCACAAAAGTGTAAATTAGCTACAGCTAAGAATAAATCCTGGAAGCAACCAAAATGTCAAATTTCATGGTTATTTTAAGTATATAGAAAAACTTATTTTTAAGTAATAAAATATTTACTCCTCAATTTAAAAAGTTAATTAGCAAAAAAATATATTCTCCTCAGACATTTTCTCATCCAGGAATTAAATACTCATTACGAGAAGAAGGGGAACTGAAGTTTCTCAAAGATTTTCAATACTCCTAAAAGAGAAAAAGAATTTAAGATTGACATGGCTTCACACATTAATGTGTAGTTATAAATTGTGTCATTTTATGTAACTGGAATTGAATGCATTAATTATTAATAATCAAAGGAAGAGTATTTCTTTTCATTCATTCATTATGTTACAGAGATGTTTGAATCTGGCTCTTCCTTTTCTTCTTTTAAAGACTATATTTATTTATTTTTAGTTAGGGAAAGGGAAGGAGAAAGAGAGGGAGAGAAACATCAATGTGTGGTTGCCTCTTGTATGCCCCATACTGAGGACCTGGTCTGCAACCCAGGCATGTGCCCTGACTGGGAATTGAACTGGCGACCCTTTGGTTCACAATCCGGTGCTCAATCCACTGAGCCAGAACAGCCAGAGCTGAATCTGACTCTTTCAATGAGATGTTTTTCCCCTTCTTTTCATACTTAGTGGAAGTGTCATGAAGAGAGGAAAAAGGCAAATATGATCAAGACTTCTCTTTACGTGACTGGGTTCCAGGTAATGTCTGAGCCAGGGAAGTATTCAGTTGTGAAAAGTATAGAGGGCAGTTCCTTCTGGGCCAATATGGTATATCCCTGGCCTCTAACTGTTTATATTATTGAACTTCAGTCAGCCTTCATGGTACTGAAATTAAGTGAAATTAGCACAATACCAAAGGCATTGAAAACTTTAAAATAGCCATTTATTTTCAAAACATAGTTCTAGATAGTGTACACTTGCACTTTTTCCTCTCTGAAAACAGAATTCAGAAATAATTTAAACGTTTTCTTGACAGTCACAATCTAGTTTTTAACACTGAAAAGCAAATAGATGAAAATGAATTTTAAACTTTTATGTAGATTGTTAAAAGAATGAACTATATTCGAACATCACTCATTGAAACTAGTGAAGTAACTTACATTTTTAATCAATCTTTCTTAATCTTTAAATATGGCTTCCTTGAAAATTAGGATTTTCTAAAAATACAAAAATGATTCTACACATTCCACTACTTTACTTTGAGAGTCTTTTGTTTCTTACATTAAACTGTTATATGCTTTAAAGCTGGAAATCTATAGTCATAATTCAGAGTAATTTTTAAGTTATTTCTATATTGTTCTGAGTTTCAATTTTTATGTATACATTCTTTTATCTGTTGAGCCCACTTTTTCAGCTGTCAGTCTTCCTCGTCTGCTTGGTGATATTTTATTGAGACCTTATTTCCTGCTGGAGGTTTCCCTCATACCTGGTTTTGATAGTCTTGTGGAAGGGAAGAAGAGCCCCAGGCTCTACAAATCCAAGCCTTAATTAAGAAGCTTAGCTCAACTTTGCCACACACACAAGTAGAGGTTTTGGACGAACACCTAATGGTGTGTTTGAGTTGGGCCCTGGCCTCTCTGGAGTGGCACCACTCGGTGAGGCAAAAATCTCAGGGGCTGTCAGTCTCTGTTTGGTTGTCGTGTGTCTGTTAAGGCTGTAGACACGGGAGCTAATGAAGACATTTTTACCTTTTTAACATTAAAAAATTATTTTAAAAGGTTTTTATTGTTGACACTAGAAACATTTTTACTTTTCAGTCTTCAAAGTAAATGAGCTGATTTTAATCAGAAACAAGCTGGTTTTGAGGAAAATTGTGTTGTGACTGAAGGATACATGGGGGTTACCTATAGGAAAACATCTTGGTCTTGATTAATATGCATGACAGTGCTGCGCATGGGGTCCTAGACAACACACAACAACAACAACAACAACAACAACAACACACTCTGCAAAGCAATCCTGTATTGTGCACTGAACTAGAAGCCACCTTTATTTGGTATGGTCATGCTACACCTGCTCCGGTACCTACCCCAGACCTGCCTGCAGTTCCTTGAACAACCCACAGAAATCTGCTCAAGCTGACAGGTTCTCTGTCCTCTTGTGCACTGATTTGACTCAGCTGTTCAGTGATGCTCAGATATGGAGGATGAACAGGGAACCTTCGGTGGGCTGCTGCTCATAGGCAATTTTCTGAGCATTTTGAGGATATCAACATCACTGGGACATAGTTCCAGATCTACTGTTGTGAGGTTTCTGACTGGAATGTCAGAGACAAAAGGGTTCAGATTTCTGAAGTCACTGTTTCCAACTTATATGGGCTATGGACAAGGAAAGACCTTCATGAAAACCTCAACTTATGGAACAATTTGGGGTTTATAAAAAATTAAAATTATACTCTCTAAATATCTTTTTGAGGGTTTTTTTGCTTAAATTTCTTTCCCTGCGGGGGAATGCATTTCTTCATCCCAAATGCCTCATCCTTTTCAAGAAGATTTAATCAGCAATCAAAACACTTTCCACAAAAAAAAGCCCAGGACTAGATGGCTTCACTGGTGAAATCTATTAAATGTTTGAAGAATTAACACTAATCCTTCACGAACTTGTTTTTAAATTGAGGAGCAGAAACCACTTCCCAGTTCATTCAATGAGGCCAATATTGCTCTGGAGCCCAAACCCGGCAAAGGTAACACAAGAAAACTGAGCACCAATAACCTTTATTAATGTGGATGCAAAACTCAACAAAATATTAGCTAATGGACTCCAGCAACATGTAAAAAGGATTATACACCATGACCATATGGGATTTATCCCAGAAAATGAAGGTTGGTTTAACATATGTAAGTCAATCAATGAAACACATCAAATTGAATAGAAAAGGACAAAGCCATACAACCATCTCAATACATGGAGAAAATTTTTTTTACAAAATCCAACACTTTTTCATGTTAAAAACACTCCACAAATATGACACAATTGTGCATAAAGAAAATTCAAAGAAATCCACAAAAAATTATTTACTGATAGATGAGTTCAGCAAGGTTGGAGGGTACAAGGTTGATAGGCAAAAATCAATTAGTGTTTCTGTTCACCAGCACCAAATAAGCTCAAAATGAGGGAAACAATTCAGTTTATGATCACATCAAAAAGAATAAAATACTTAGGAACTAATTTAACAAAATAAATGCAAGACTTGTACACTGAATGCTACATCCTTGAAAGAAATTAAAGAAGACCTAAGTAAATGAAAAGTGTTCATGGATTGGAAGACTTAATATTGTGAAAATGGTAATTAATGCCCTTCAGACTGGTCAACAGAAGTCAACCAAATCACTATTAATATCCCAGTTGGTTTATTTCTTGGCAAAAAATTGGCAAATTGGTCCTAAAATTAATATGGAAATGCAAGGACTCAGAATAGCCAAAACGGTCTTGAAAAAAGATTGTTTTTTTTTTCAAACAAAGTTGGAGGATTCACACTTCCTGATTTTAAAGATGTATGATAAATTAGACATCAGATATTTGAATATTTTTCAAATTAAAAATACAAATACTATCTTTTAATTTAGTATGTGCTATAGAGAATTAGTAGAAATTGTCTTAGCTTTTATTACAAATTTCTCAACCCACTCTTCTTGATTTCAACTTTATACCTTAATGCCATTTCAAAAGATCTACACATAGATATTTTTCTCCAATATTTACGATGACAGGGAATTCATTATATGTCACTCTTTAAATATTTTAACCTAATTAATGACCTCAACAAAATACTATCAGTTTTCCTTCCTATTTCTAGGTTTTGTAAGCACCTCCCTT